GCCCTATGCACTCTTATGATGTGTTGACTTGGAACTGGAGCGTCAACACATCTTATGTTACTTGACGAAAGGATAATAAAGAGAAGGGAACCAAGTGATCACTGTACACATAAACATAGTTATAAAGAAACAAGGAATAAATATTCATGCCAACTACATACTTAGCAACTGGTCACATTTATGGCTCTCATCCACTACTAGGTCTGTCTTCCCTTCAGCCCCAGGAAGCATGTCAGCCGTCACATTTCTCTCCAGGTTATGTGACCAAACCTTGTTTTCTGAAGAGACCAACGCGGGTCACTAATTCAACCCCGCTTACTTTTCCATTGAGTTTATCCACTTGAATCATAGCACGACAATACTAAGAGCTGCCCCCAAGGGATTCTCAGAATTCCAGGCATCCCCTGCAAAGCTCCTGAAACTTTCAAAACTCTTCCTCAAGTCGTGTTTCCTGCTTATGCTTCAGGGTACCCTGGCTAGTCCCTATTCTCTTCAGCTAGTTCCTGAGCTAACTTGTGTCCACAATTGCCTGCCTGGCAGGGTGAGCTTTGCCATCTTTTTTTTTTTCTTTACAGTATTTCCCTTAGCGGCAGTATCAACCCTTGATCCTCTGCTTGCCAGAGGGTCAAATTCACAGACAGTTTAAACTTAAAACAAATGGTAACAAAACCGAACTTTGCCCGTTCAATAGCAAACACGTAGACGTCTATCCAGAAGCTTGCTTGATACCGTATTTTATCAGTAGGTGGCTTTCCTGTCACGCTCGTGCGGGAACTTTCATTCCCAACTAAAGGAAACACATTAAGTCTGGAAGAGATTTTGCTGGGCAGTTATTATACCCTGCTGGGAAGTCAGAGGACTCTGGGCATCTGGCTGGTTGCAGTCTGGGAACAACTCCCTGTGCTGGCAGTGTTGCAGAAGCTTGCTAAGGTAAGAGAAGGTGGACCTGAGAATTGCCTGTGGAAGGAAATGCCCCTGTGTCTCCAGGGATGCTTAGCAGGTTCGAGACAAGTAAACGGGCTTTTAGAAAGAGGTCCCAGCTACTCCTAAAGACTCAGTAACTATGCAGTTTGATAGATGGAAAAATTAGGTTCCAACTTGGGTGCCAACAGCAGAAATGAAAGGGATGCGTGCTCACTGAAAAAAATTAATTGAAATAAACATATAAATTTGACCTTGATTTTAAAATTTGTTGTAGTATATTCAATATTCTTTTTAAAAAATAGACCTAGAAGTATAGAAACTTAACCAGATTTAAGCATTGAGAATTAGGTCCCATGTACTATAATTTAAGGTTTATATGAGCCAAGTATGGTATTATACACACCTGTAGTTCCTGAAATCAGAAGGCCGAAGCAGGAAGATTGTGAGTTCAAGCGCAGCCTGTATACAGTGAGATACGGTGAGATCTTGTCTCAAGAGAAAGAAAAAAAGTTAATATGGTCAATTAGGTTAGTTAGTACCAGAATTGGCCACTATATCAGAATCACTATGAGTCATTTCCATGTAACCCAGCAGCTATGGAGAACTTGCTGTAGAAAGGAGTCCCTATTCCAAGTGCCTCATAAATTGGATCATAGCCATCCATCTTGATAGGAGTGCTGAGATAGCAGATGTGCAGCCACATTTGACTTCTTACGTGGGTTGGGGTGATGGGGGGCAGTGTTGAGTTCGGCTTTGGCTTTTGCTCACCCCCTGGTGCCACCTCCCCAGGCCTCCAGGTTAAAAGAAAAACCCAGTTGCATCAAAACAGAAAGTCTGTGGGATCTGAGGTAGCAGATGGCACCATTGTTTTCTAGCCCCGTCCGATCTCATAGCAAATTGTGCGGGATTTGGGGGGGGGGGGGAATAAAGGCCGATTTAGTCTACACCAATCAGATGCTGCACTCTCCACTACCAGCAGCGAGCAGAGGCACCCGGGGCCAGGTGTAGTCTGAGTTGGGCAGGGTCCAGAAAGGGGAGGGATGTTAACTAAACCGGCCTGGGTCAAAGTGTGAGATGACGAGAACCTGATTCAGCAGGGGACTTAGGTGTTGCAGTTTTCCTGGGTTTTTATCTTTCAGAAAGCCAATTCTTCTCTAAAACTTCTCCCAAGCGCCACACTCCCTACTCTCACTGAATGTCTCTGTCCCTCTTTCAGAAGATTTATGGTAGGCATCCCGATGACTCAGCTCGCGCACACAACTCATTGCCTAAACGGCAGAGATTTTTTTCCCTCCCAAACCTAGTTGGTTATTTGCAACAGCGCCCTCTGGGGGTTCAGGTGAGGTGCACAGCTGCTAAGGAGCCTGGCCCCAGGCCCTGCGTCTGGGCCGAAGTGCGGCGGGAAGCTGGACTCTTGGCACATGTCTTGTCTAGAGTGACCTGGTTCCCACAGTTTCTGCTTCGTGTGCTCACATTCACAGCCAAGCCTTTTCTCCAGCTCCCAGATTGGAAGACAGAATGACTAGAGATGGAGCCGCCTCTACTCGCCTCTCTTGCCTACTGGATGGCTTTCTCCTGGGAGTCCCCATTTCCTGCCTGTCTCTGAGTGGTTAGTGATGCCCTCGAGGGCAGGACATTTGGGAAATGAAGGCGTGAAATCTCAAACCCAACAAACCAGTTCTTCATTAGCAGGTTTGGGAGCAGTCTTTAGAAAGAGGCCTGACATGGGGCTAGAATGCCTCTTCAGAGCTGCCATTTTCTTCACCTGTGTACCCCCTTGCCCCCCACCCCAAGCAGACCCTAAAGAGGATGTGTATACAGATGGCTTATCTGGGGAGCAAACCCCGTGTACGTGATTAACGGGGTGACAAAAGAGCATTTTCACTAATCACGTGGCTCACTGCCATACAGGGAATTTTTTTTTTTATGTTTAAAAGGAACAAGAAGAGTCAGGCGTGGTGGCGCACGCCTTTAATTCCAGCACTCGAGAGGCAGAGGCTGGCCAGTCTTCCAGGCAGGGTGAGACCCTGTCATTATATATATGTATGAGAAAATCGCACAGGGAACACACCCCATCGATAAGACACATTAACTACACTGTGTCTCCATTTAATTTAGACCCCAGTTTTGAGGGTCAAGCAGTTTCCTTGGGATGAAGGTAGCCTCTGCATACAAAGTCTAGCAAGAGCTCACAGCATACCTTCCTATACGTTCTTAGGAGGGATGACTTGGCCAAGCCCCCAGAAATTCTGAAAGGCATAGGATGGCCCTGCTTTACTAGATGGCAGGGTGCTGGTGATCTGCCCATGGGTACCAACATCTTAGGGGTGCTCTGTGGTTTGCAATTCAGTAATCGAGGTCAGTAACTGATGCCCGTGGTCTGAGAGTGTCTGGCAGACAGTGCATGGCTTTCCCTCTGGGGAGAGGATCGCTCTGTATGTCATTTGCACAGCAAAACAGGACACTCACCCGGGCCACCATTGGGAATCATTTCCGACGTGACTGCTGTAGTCATGTGGGGAGGATGGAGTGGGAAAGGATGTGCTAGAGAGTTGGTCACATGGCTCACTACCACCGACTCCATATTATCATTTCAGGACGTACGCTAGGCTCACTTCAGTACTGCTAAGGGGGTAATGAGGGCCAGATGTGTCTCAAGGGGGTGATATTGGTCAGAGAAACATCCCAGAAGGCGTTGGCTCTTTTATGCTGGCAGGTTTACCAGTATAGGAGAGCAGTGGGTCGCCCCAGTGGTCCTGGAGTGCTGTGACAATGGGACACATTGAAGTCAGGAGGTACGGGTATGGCTGAGGTGGGGGCTTCTCAGGTTACACCAGCAAAGCTGGGCTGGAAAGACTGGAAATCAGCCGCTAAGGGTGTCTAAGCTAATGTCAAAGAGGTCAATTAGTAAGTCTTCTATAAATCTTTATACATAATTCTCAGCCCCAAGTACCAAGTTAGAATTTACGGTTCTCCTAGATGGGAAGATTAACTCTCTTCCAGCATGACACAGCCCTCAAAGTGTAACTCATTCTATGATGATTTTATGATTATGGGTGTTTTATAGGTTTTTGGTTGTTTTGAGACAGGTTTCCCCTGGAACCCTGGAACTCACTTTGTAGATCTGCCCGGCTCTCCGAGTGCTGGGATTAAAGACATGTACCGCCACGCCTGATTTACGTATAGGGATTTGTTTTTATGGGCTATGGCACCATCTACTGAGAGCCATTCTGAGTCTGGTTTGAGTCTGTGAAATGGGCACAGCAAACCAAGGCATTCTCTTTTCAGGACTCTTGGTCTTCAGTGTTCTGGGTGCCAGAAGCGGGGCATAAAAAAGAAACACAGCCTCAGCCCTCAAAATTCAGGGACGGAGATGGCAGGTTTCTTTAAAGCCCCCACCCCACCCCCCACAACCGCCCCGGTACTTCCCTCGGACGTTCACCTTCCTAGTTCCTTTCTGAGCAGCCGTTATGTAATTTTTCTAAACATAGCTCCATCACTAACAGCCTGGTATCTTCTCTCAGCCTGTTTCTCATCCTGGAAACAGGTATCTCGTGGTAGTGGGGTGGCTGACTGCCCCTGCAGACCACAGGCAGATATGTCCTATTGGTGAAACCTTGGGACGTTGCGATACGTTCAAGAATCTCAGAAGAAATGTTATATGTCATTTGGTTAAATGACATTTAAAAGTCAACCAACTAATCTTTTAGCTCCGGTGAGCTTTAAAGACAGCAAACACACGAAAAACCTGGAAGGAGTCTTGTCCTTCGCGGGATTTCTTCACTTCCTGGAAGCTGCACTTTCTCCCCTGGTTTGGGGGCGCGGGGAGAGGGCTGTCGCCTTCTCTCACCTTTTGCCTTCCTGCTCCATCCAGGGTCCAGGAAGGAAAGATCAGATGGCAGCAGAGATCTGTACCAGGCTTATATTGGGATGAACAAATTATCTCGGGGGTGCCTAGAGACTAGGGGCACCCTCTACTGGAGCAGAGCCAGGCCGGGATAAGGAGGGCTGAGGAGGCTGCGCCCAAGCTCTCCCCGCCTCCGCGCTGTCTGCCGTCGGGCCCCGCCCGGCGCAGCCCTAACGCAAGCAACGGAGTGTGTAAGGCACATCCGGGTGTCGGAGGCAGAAGGCCGGTTTTAGGGGATTCAGGAGAGTATCCTGGGAAACAGGAGCAGGGCGCCAATTCCAAGCCAGAAGCGCGAGCACCTGTACAGCACCAGGTTGAGACTGCGCACCAGCCCAGCCCTCGCCTTGGAACCCCCTACCGGGTCGCTTTGGGGTAAGAGGAGGGAGGGTCTTCATCGCGGTCACTGGGGCAGGCACGCCAGCGCCAACTGCCCGGTTTGGTTTGGCCTGGCGTGGCTCCTGTGCGGGGTCCTTGGAATGCGGGTGGGGAAGGGACATAGTGTCCTCTAGGCAGCTCTGCGGCCAAAGAGGAACCAGAGATGGATCGATCGATCTCCCTGTCTCGGCCCCCGGTCGTCTGCACCCGCCACCCTCTAGCTGCTTCCCGCTTCCTCCGTGCGCGCCTCCAGGAACTAGGTGCTTTATTTTCGTAACGGGAGGCCCGAGGTTGATTACGCGGCCTCGTGGCCCCTACGTGAAATCCTTGGCACTCACTGTTCACTGCTCGCGCAATTTCACAGACGGGAACTGAGACCCTAGGAATGGAAGGAACTGGCCCAAGGTCACTTCGTAGCCCCTTTCTTCCAATCTTCTAGCCTCGGCTGTAAGCTCTGCCCGATCCCGACCCTTCTCCCGACCTTGCCCTACGTTCACCCCCTCCTTCCATGACCTCCACTAGGCTCTGTTCTCGGGGTTTGGCAACTCCTCCTCCGTGCGTGCTGCGCCCAGAAAGGATGCCTCAGGTCCAGCCGCTTGAGAGTGAACAGAGCCGGGGTTAGTGGAGACCGGATTGACTTCGGTGCTGGGGGAGGAGGAGGTCCAGGCAAGGTGGCGGCACCGTGGGGGTCGGCTAGGGATGGCAGAGCTGCGGGGACCCTGGCAGGACCAGGCCCTAAGCCACCCCAGCGCCGCGTCTGGAGGACAGTGTGGCTTTGTCTAGGTGGTGCCGCCTCAGCCAATAGGAGCGCGGCTTTGGCCGAGCCCCCTTGGTCCCCGCCCTCATGCCGGCTGGAAGGGACCCTGGCTCTGGGATTGGCTGTGAGGGGCCGCGGCGTGGAGGGGGAGGCGCCTGTGCGACTCCACTACACCCCTTGCGTGCTGGAGGGCGCCGAGATCCCGTGGGTTCGTGCATCTGGGTGGGGCCCCAACGTCATTTTCCCTCTCCCTGTGGCTGCCCCTTCCAGGAGGCGGCGGCATAATACCCATCGCGTGTTTTTCCAGCCAGTGAGCCAAAGTCGACCCATAAGTCAGTAGATGCAGAGTCACTGTCTAGCCCAGAGGTTCCCACTTGGAAGAGTTGCAGAGGCTTCCTCTTGCCAGGATCCTTTGTGACGCAGCAGACGCCTTTCTTTCGACATCAGATTCGTCCTGAAGCACGGTACATAAACACCCTAGCCGGCCAGGCAGCCAAACGGAGACATTTATTGTTCATGCTTTCTGAACAACGCATCTCGAGAGGAAACCTAGAAGTCAGTGATTCACCATCTGAGTCCTGTTCGTGGGGTGTTCACAGTGCAGGTGGGACCGATGGTTAGCTAGGGCTTGTGAGTAGTTGGAAACAGAAATATCTCCAGTATACCCCACTCAGTGACTGCAATTCCAGAAGTCCGGAGGGAGACGGAAAAGAGGGAAAGGTTTTATTGGTTGGTTGGTTTGTTTTGTTTTGTTTTTTCCTGTGAAGAGGGTTAAAGCCAAGGCTTCATGCATGATAGGTGTTTACCATTGAGCTATATCTTTAACCTGATTTCTATTATTTTCAGATAATGTTTCACTCAGTTACCTGGACTGACCTAGGACTTCATATAGTCCAGGAAGGTCTTGACTCTACCCCATCCCCACCCTGCCTCAACTTCCTGCGAAGCTTTTGGGAGGCTGATTTTTGCTATAGGCAATTAAGAAAGGTAGCTTGGAAGAGATTTTATTTGTTAGGCGTGAAGTAGATCCGATTTGGTATAGGATAAGGGAGACACAGGAATGAAGAGAGATAGCATAGCAGATAAAGTGAGCGCTGGTAAGAACACAGATGCTATGGATGCCTTCACAGGTGGACTACAAAATCAGCTCCTCAAAGGTCAGGCGTGGAAGGAGGAGGGGCTCAGGGGCCCCCACCCCTCACGACTGAAATATTTACTATTGACTTAGGGAGAGGGAGAGTCATGGGCTAAAACTGAGTGCTCGCTAAAGACCCCACCAGGCTCCGATGGACAGTTTCGTTGCAGTGGTCAGTCAGATGGCCCTGGTTAAACTATGTGCTTTGCAGAACAAAGTGACAGAAAAGGACTGATATGCCTCTTGAGTTCTAGGATTAAAGGCATGGACCACCACGCCTGGCTTAAAACCCCCTTAATTCACTCAGCTTTGGGTCTCGAAGATGCAGATAAGATAGAAAGAATGTGTATAATGCAGATAGAAAGGTTGTAGTGAGGGACCAAGAAGGAAAGCAAAAAAGGAAGCAGGGAGCGGACAGAGAAATTACCAAACTGGGGTGTGATGGACTGAGGTGTTGCAGCTCTGTAGATGTAGCTGTTTTATGAAGCGTCTCCAGGCAGAGGGACAATAAAGGCATGACCCTGAAGCTGCAGTGCACCAGATGTTCCAGTGACAGCAAGAAGGCTATTATGACAGAGACACAGTGGACAGAGATGAGGTTAAAAGGACAATGGGGCCAAGGTCAGGTAGGGTTTTGGGCAGTCTGTACCAATCTGGGCTTTAATTGTTAGGGGAATGAGATGCAAGAGTGAAATGGTATGATGTCTGTTTTGCAGGACTACATCCTGCATGGAGACCTTGATGGGCTCAAAGAGCCTACTTGGGAAGCTGTTGCAATTCTGCAGGCGAGGAGGGACAAAGGCTTAGATGGTGGTGGATCCTAGCAGAGGATCCTAGCTAGCTCATGGAGGGGACGTCAGTAAGATTTGCCAACTGCTGGGCTGTGGAATGTGCAGGAAATCAGAACACCTACACTTGGGACAAATTAAACCTGGCATACCCAATCAAACCTTCAGAGGGACAGTTGTATACCGCAGCCTGGAGTTTGGGGCAAAGGCTGAGCTGGAAATAAACCTTAGTGTATTGACAGCAAGTGAATAACCAGCTATCAAAGCTCGCCTTATGGTAAGAGCAGACCAGGCTGGAGCCCCAGATAGCATCAGTGATCTTGCCCTTGACAAGCAAGCCCTGGTCTCCTGGGCATAGAATGTTCTCTTAGTCTGGCTATTGTAGTTTATAGTGATTTTGACATTTCTGATAGCATCTTCTCTTGGGAAAACACAGATGAGTGATGGAGTATGGGAGGCAAGTGTCACCTTGTCATTATAAGGTCGAGAATGAAGCATTCCCTGAACGTAAGGCAGATAAATTAATGATAGTGTTCAGTGGGATCCACCTTTGACTGCCTACCCTCAGCAGGTGTTAGGTGTCCAGCTCATAGAGGCTGATTTTCATCCATTCCTAGGGGTCATCTAAGTCATCCAGGGTCAGGGGACAGGCCATCTTCCCCCCCACAACTGTGCAGCAACAGCTGTGGAGGCAGAATCCTGTGGGCTGGACCAAGTGGGAGAAGAGGGGGTTGACAGAATAGACACACTGCAGTGACTACCTTTCAGGGATTCTTCTGTGTCCAGAGTCTCCCGGGCAGATTGAGGTGCCCATGTTAGGTGTGTCTCTGCAGAACTGTGCTGTGCAGCTAAATCCTTGGCTTTATTAAAAGACTCCATTGAGATTTGTTGTGTGTTATGTCTGCATTGTGCTGGAAGTCTGGTGTGTGGGTACCATCTAACATTCCTGTGTAACCCTATGAGGCTTCCTGTCCAGACTCTCTCTCAAAGGACTGGTGAGCATCTCTTTGAACAAAGGCTTTTACTTTTTTAGTTTTTCGAGACAGGATTTCTCTGTATAGCCCTGGCTGTCCTGGAACTTGCTCCATAGGCCAGGCTGGCCTCAAAGTCACAGAGATCTGCCTGCCTCTGCCTCCTGAGTGCTGGGATTATAGGCTCTACCATCCACCTACCTCGGCCTCCTGAGTGCTGGGATTATAGGCACTACCATACCAAGCTCCTGATTTGGACTGCTTTGATGGGAGGAGAAATGGGGTTCATCTTGGGTTTCCCACAGATTATGCATTGATATCTGAGGGGGTGCTCATGAGAGGAGACCCAAGTTTTGCTAGCATCTTTATTTTGTACCTATGGATTTGGTCCCTCCCCCAGTTAGACCCTTGTGCCCTTTTACAGTGGTGCTTGAGTTTCAAGGCCAACAGAGCCCAGCCCTTATGAGATCTTCCTTTTTCTGGAACCACCTGCTTCCTGTCACCATTTCTGTTCCCAAACCTGAAGGCAGAGAACTTCCTGTTCTTTTACAGAGAGTGAAATCCAGCTGGTGGCATTAAGATAGCAACAGCAACTGGGGGAAAGTCCTTAGGTATGCCATGATATCTCTGTGTTCCATAAACCTAGGCCAGGCTGGGTGTGTAGTTCAGCGGCAAAGCACTTGCTTAGTATGAGGCCCCGCCTTCCACTCTGTGTATGAGAGACCGTATTGTAAATGGGCATAATTCAAAGGCCTGAGTTTTTATGTGCTTTAAGCTAGTTTGACTATAACACTTCCCATTTTGCTGACTCTAAGGAAAACTAAGTTGAAAGCAACCCTCTATTTGGAGACTCTACTGAGACATTTTTCTTGTGCAGGCATTGAGCCAAAGGCTGGGGAAGGTCTTTAATTGCAGACAAGCATTTGAAGTCACCCAGGAGCAGTGGGCAGGCCTCGGTTGTGGTGGGAGGAGGTGGAGATGTGTGTGTTCAGCCATGTTCAGCACATGGCTTCCTGTAGAGAATGAAGTTTCTGGCTTGGGTCTTCCACAGGGGCCAAGTTGGGCTCTGTTGTGCTGCCGCCTGCAGGGACCTGCCACAGGGAGTTCAGTATGGACCGCATGCTGCCTTCCTACCCACAAGGAAGGTTACTCCTTGGTTAACCTCCTTTCAGACTCAACAGAGATGTGCTTGATGCCTCCTCTGGTTGTCCTGGGCACTGATGGTTACTGAAAGTGGCCAAGAGGATGGGCAGGTCCTCTGGTCTCATGAGGTTTTGTCTCATAGAGGGAGATTAAGTTAATAAGCAGGGTAGCTCGGGCATTAAAGACAATGGGCCTTCAGGGTCATGCTGTGCATCGCTTGGGAGGTCTCTAAAAAGGGGGGATGACTTTGCATGGTTCTGTGGCTCTAACAGAATACCTGAGGCTGATACTTTTCAAGACAAGAGGTTCAGTTCGACTGTGCTTCTGAGAAGTCCAAAGCACAGGGCAGATGCTCAGCTTCCAGTGAGGACGCCATGCTGTTTATAGCACAGCAGAGGCGGGGTGAGGTGGGAGCTGGTTTGAACGTGGCGGAACATAGCAGAAGGGTTGCTCCAGACAGTCTGCTCTTAGGGTAACTCATCCAGCCCTGGAGAGTGACGTCTCCCGGGGACCAGCACTAATTGTCCCTAGTTACTAAACACTTTTTTGTTGTGTAAAGATAGGAAGAGCTCCATGTGAAGCCCAGGCGGCTTGCTCTATGTGTGTTCCTCCAGCCTCAGTTTTCCAAGTGTTGAGACTGTCGGTACGACCACACCTGGCTTCTAGTCACCTCTAGTTTCTGTTTTGGTCTTGTTTTCTTATATAATCTCATGAGACTCAAGGTGGCCTTGAGTTTTCTCTGTAGCTGAAGGTGATTTTGAACCCCTGGCCCTCCTTCCACTGTGTCCAGTTTCTAATTACCCCATGTGTCATTGCCCCAGTGACAGTCGGATATTAGTCTTAGTGACTTGGGGAATAGCTCAGTAGGTCATTGGCTTAAATGTGTGAAGATCTAGATTCCATCTCTAGCCTTTTCTCCCTTCCATTTCAACATGACTTTTCTAGGAGGCAACCATATTCAAATCACAATAGGTAATGAAGAGCAGCCACTCCAAAGACTGAAGGGACAGAAGAGCCCTCCCAGCCTCAGCCACCCAGGAAGAGGGAGAGCAATGCCAAGGGCTCTGAGACTGGAGAGAGCTGCCTCCCAGACGTGCAAGAGACAACGTTGGAAAGTGAGCAAATTGGTTGTGTAGAAAGGCAGTTAGAGGCCAGCAGAGCAGGCGTAGGTAAGTGAGGCCATGCAGGATTTGCCTCCGGCTGTTAGATCTTTCTAGCTGGAAGCTCTTGGAATGGGAGTGACTCATAGAAAGGAGAGTACAGAAGAACCACCGTCAAGTTCAAAATCAGAAGTCAAGGGGGCCCTGTCTGCCTACCTGGGAATTCAGCAGCTAAGCACCTCTGCCTGTCCCTTGAGCATTGTCTAGGCAGGCCTGTTAACTAGCATAAGGCTCCTCCCATGATCTAGATATGGTCTGAGCCTTAACTCGAATTGTAAAGTTTGAAGGGTAGAAATGTAACCGGCTGTCCTTTTTTTTCCCTTTGTGTATGGGCGTCTTTGCCTGCATGCAAGCCTCTGCACCACATGCAGAAGAGGGATTCTGGCACCAGAAGAGGGAGTGGGATTCTTTAGAACTGGTGTTAGAGATGATTGAGAGCTGGCCATGTGAGTGTTGGGAATTGAACCTGGGTCCTCTGAAAGAGCAGCCAGTGGTCTTAACCCCTGAGGCACCTCTCCAGATCATAAGTGAACTATTTTTTTTTTTTTTTGCCCTCAGAGGAAGGGCCTTTGGGAGCTGATCCAGATTAGCTAATGCCATCAGGGTGGAGCTCCCTAGTTGAATCTTGATGGCTCTATAAAAAGGTCTGTGTGCCAGGTGTGGTGGTGTGTGCCTTTAACCCCAACATTCATAGAGGCAGGCAGATCTTTATGAGTTTGAGGCCAGCTTGGTCTACATCTTGAGTTCCAGGCCAGCCAAGGCTACATAGTGAGACCCTGTCTCAAAAGGAAGGAAGGAAGGAAGGAAGGAAGGAAGGAAGGAAGGAAAGACAGAAGATGTGGAGTTAATTCCTGCTACTGACTACTGACTTATGATGTCTTGATGTATCGTAACAACCTGGGACTCTGCCAGCTGGAAGTCAGTAACTAGACGTACACCTTTAAGTTTGGAATAAAAATGTGGGTCAAAAATGAACCTGTTGGCTTTTATATATACTCGGTATCAGGTACTTTATTAATTGTCATAGAAAATTGACTGATGTACTGGCCTCATGGCTGACCGTCAGTTGTGTTTGGGGCGGGCTAGGGAGAGATTTCTCCCTGCTGGGATCTTATTATTAACAAGATGTGGCAATCTACAGCCCCTTTCACAAAGGAGAGGCCAGGAAGAAAGACATCCGCATCCAGGTCTGATCACCTGGGCTCCAGCCATGTGGAACCTCCCAGCCTCTCCTCCTTTGGCCAGAAGCTGTCACTGTCCCCTCCTAGCCCTTTAGCCAGAAATTGTCACCGTTAGCCAGAGCAGGCGCTAACACACATGCTGAGCCACAGGCACTAATGAAGCATAGCGCAAGCTGAGGAGACCTCTGCTTCTCTTCATTGTCTGAAGATTAAAGCAGCGACACAGCCCCAGCTGCCCCTGCGATGAGCATTGCTTTGGTCGCCATAGTGCAAGCCCGGTCGCCATAGCGGAAGCCTGTCTGGGTCTGGTTTGTATACGTGACATTTAATCACCATGGTGCTGGGGAGGCCTTAGGCGCCACCAAGTGACGTATGACGTAGTTGTAGTAGTTTGACTTAACCTAAAATGGATAAGGATGAGGGGGGATATGTGTGGTCTTTGTTTGTTCTGTGTGCAGGTTTTGTTGTCGATGATGTTTGTCTGCTTGTTTCGCAGTCTTATAGCCCAGGCTGGTGGGGAACTTGCCTTATAGTCGAGGCTGACTTCCAAGTTGCAATCCTCCTGCCTCAGCCTAACAAGTGCTTACAAGTGCTAAGTAGTACAGGCGTGTCCTACCCTGTCTGGATTTTATATGTGTGTTTTAATGTGAAGAGTCTCACCTTAATTCAGAGCCTCCAGTTTGCTGAGGTGAGAGGGAGGTGGAGTCCTGAGCCAAGCGATGCATGTTGTGGGACAGCACGTGCCACCCACCGAGGATGGAGACACGCTGTGGGTGACATTGGTGTGGGACGTTATGCGCCACCCGCAGAGTATGGAGACACGCTGTGGGGCAAGCAGGGTGTGGGATGTTACACGCCACCCGCAGAGTATGGAGACACGCTGTGGGGCGAGCAGGGTGTGGGATGGCACACGCCACCCGCAGAGGATGGAGATGCGCTGTAGGTGAAGGCTGGTGTCCATCACCACAGATGGATATTTCACGAGATGTAAGAAACCTGGACAAGGGAGGGCTTTCTGAGTTAGACTGGCCCCAGCCGGTGGCTGCTCTCCCAGAAGACTCCCCAACAGGTGTGTCAGACCTGTGGCCTGCAGGTCACATACAGCTGAGGACAGCTACAGATGTGAGCCAACACAAAATTCTAAAATGACTTAGAACATTATACCTTTTGTGGCAGTGGTGGCCCACACCGTTAATTCTAGCACTCGGGAGGCAGAGGCAGGCAGATCTCTGTGAGTTCAAGGCCAGCCTGCTCTACAGAGTGATTCCAGGACCACCAGGGCTATACAGAGAGAGCCTGTCTCGAAAAACAACAACAACAACAACAAAACTCAATTGCACAGTTCTTGAGCATGAACTTTACAGATGAGGTCATTTTGCCTTGTCACAAAGTTAGATATTCCTTGGTTATGTCCCGAGTCAGTTCCCCCAGTAGTTTCTGTACAGCCTGCCTGGAGGATCACTGGTCTAGTTCAATGTTGTCTGTCACACATAGGTGACCACCCATCCATGGTTGTCCTATGTTGGTACACCCTGGCTCCCCATTTTCCATCTCCCGAAGCTTTAGCTTGAGCAGTGCCTTGTCAGAAAGTGGACTTTACTGACTAAACTTCTGAGGGCAAGCGGTTGAGCATGCATTTTTGTGTTTCAGACCCACCAGAAGAAAGCAGATCGCCCTCCTACTTGCTGACATGATGCTGGCCGCCCGTCTCAGACCCCTGTCGCAGCTCCCAGGAAAAACTCTAAGTGTCTGTGACAGAAACAGTGTGACAAGGTAAGCCACTAAAGGAAGAGGTAGGTGGCCTTGAGGGCTGTGCTTTTCCCAGGTGGGTCCTGACTGTCCTCAACACCTGCCGGCCCTCAGGGAGCGCTCAGAAGCCAGGCTTTCCCAGGACTCCTAGGGCAGAGAGCTCCTGTCTTGTAAACCCCTTTGATGTGCTGGGGTTGTAGCACAGGGGTAGAGCACTAACCTGGTATACACATGGTCCCCAGTGGCTGCAAAAATGAAGAAATAAACCCTTTATTTGAAACACTTTCAGAATTTCCTAAAAATTGCAAAACCAAAGGACCCCCAGCTTCCTCCGCACTCAACTTCCTTAGCCATTTGCATCATATAAAATCGTAGTGCCATGGAAATGATACTGATAACCAAGCTGCAGACCTTGTCTAGCCTTCGCTGAGTGACCCACTGATGGGATCTTTTATACAGTCGATAATTTAGCCCCTGCCACCACCATTGCATTTAGTTGATGCGTCTCCTCCGTCTGCTCTCATCCGCAGCAAGTCTTCCTCACCTTAGTCATGATCTTGATACTGAAGGACCACTCGCCAGTTATTCTGAAGAATGTCTGTCCGGATGTAGGGTGTGTGTGTGTGTGTATGTGTTTGTGTGTGTGTGTGTGGGTGTGCCATTGTGGTGTTGTGGTTAAATACAGATTAGCATGTTTGGCAAGAGGCTTCAAGAGTCCTTGTGACCGATTCTTTGGGGGTATTTTTGGTTGTTTTTTTAAGTTTACACTTTAAGAGAATACCCTAGGCATCCCTGAACTGCTGTGTGATTTAGAAGAATTATGAAATAAGGAGACCAAACAAACAAATATTTGGGATTTTGGAGACACATCTTACCATGTGGCCCAGGCTGGTTTCCAATGCCTTGCTTCGAGGATCTTCCCTCTTTAGCCTGGGCATGCCGGGCCTAGGTGTATGTCGCCACACTCAGCAGATCTGGCCTGTTCCAGGGGGAATTCCATAGCTCTGCTGCTACAAAAGAAGACACACTTCTCCTGGTCATATTTGAGGAAAGTGAGTCAACAGTCAAGTTAAATGCTAAGTCTCTATAGCAAGATGCTTGGTCTTTCCTATGCTCATACATGTCTTTAGAACAGACATTGAGGGCTGGAGAGATGGCTTAGCGGTTAAGCACACTAGGTGCTCCTCCAGAGGTCCTGAGTTTAATCCCCAGCAACCACATGGCAGCTCACAATCATCTTTAATGAGATCTGATGCCCTCTTCTGGCCTGCAGGCATACATGCAGGCAAAGTGCTGCATGCATAATAAATAAATAAATAAATAAATAAATAAGCCTTAAAAAGATAGAACAGATATTGAGAATTTTTTCCTTTTAAAAATTTATTTTTTACATACTAATCCCAGTCCCCCCCCTCCTCCCGCTCACCCCACCTTCCCTCCACCCGCTCCTCAGAGAGGGTAAATCCTCCCTTGGAAAATCAACTAAATCTGTCCCATCACCTCATTGAGGCTGGACCAAGCACATACATACACACACACACACACACACACACATACAAACACACACACACACACCGTGCTTAGGTTGAACAAGGTGTCTCTCCATAGAGAAAGGTCTCCACAAAGTCAGTTCATGCTTTAGGGTTAGATCCTGGTCCCACTGCCTGTGGCTCCACAAAGTGCCCAAGCCCCACCATTGTCCCCTGCACTTAGGTTGCCTAGTTCAGTCCTACGCAGGTTCCCCAGTTGTCAGTGCAGGTCAGTGAGCTCCCACTAGCTCAGGTTCGTGGTCTTGACGCCTTCGTTCATGTTATCGCTCCTCTCTCTCTTCCGTTGTGCTCCCGGAGCGCAGCCCAGTAGTTAGCTGCGGATGTCTTCTAAAACCCATTTGTATGGGACCCAGAGCAAGAGGCTCTGCTACAAGCAGGACTTCAGCTCTCCGTTGTCGGCGTGTGACAGACTTTAGAGAGAAGTGTCTTTCTGCCCTCTTTATTTTTAATCCATTCTAATTTGCTTTTTATTTGTTCAAGTCCTTGAATGTTACAACATCAGAAATTCCGTGTCAATGGCTTAAGCAGAAAATTGCCTGGGAATCTGGCAGGAACCACGCCACTGTTTGCATGGGCACACATTGCCCGTCTTAGATGGCTGCTTCTATCCAATTTCCTGTCAGGACTGCATGGTTCCAGCTTTGTTGCATGCAAGCGCAACCCTTGCCCAAGGAGAACTCACTTTCATCTTTGGCAAAAGTGTTGCACATTTCGGAAGAGCTGTGTTCCCTCTGCAGACCATGCCTGCCACCGGGGGGAAATGGCTTTCACCCAGGTTTCTAAACATGCTTGTCTTTTAGATGCTCTATTCCCAGCAGGCTAGGATACCCCATTCTCCAGGCCTTGGGGACCCAGCAATTCAGTCCTGTGGTTCCCCCTCCTGCCCAGTTTCCCTCGAGAATCTATAGAAATTACAGGTCAGCAGAATCTCCAGCTGTACCAGGGCCTTGCTGAGGGATATAGTGAAACTGCAATAACTATATTTGCCTGCCTCTGTTTGTTAAAGCGATTCATTAAAACACACACACACACACACACACACACACACACACACGGGCGGGGGGAGGAGGGAGGGAGAGAGAGAAAGAGAGAGAGAACAAAACAAAAAACAACAAAAAACAGGGCCTAGAAAGACAGCTCAGTGCTTAAGAGAATTAGTTGCTCTTCCAAACGACCCAGATGCTCCCAGGGGAGCATCCATGAGTCTGTGCCTGACAGTCTAGCTCCAGCTAGAGAGGATATAGCGCCCTCTGCTGGCCTAAGAAGGCACTGCACACAGGCAAAATATTCAAGCGCATAAAACACAAAATAGAACAACCTGTCTCCAAAGTGGCATTTAGAGAGTTCTGAAATTTTCTTATATCAAAACAACCCCAAAGGAAATTAAAATATTTCTACCAAACATTTATCCTTCAAGGGGAGTGGGGTGTTAGTTGCACTTGGTTTATTGAGGAGGAAACAAAACCTCCTACAGGGACGTTCTTGACTGTGTGGGTAAGAGAAGAGTTATTTCAAAGTGTGTTGGGGCAGCAGAGCTGAATCAGAGTGAATTACATTCCCAGGGTGGGCCATCATGGAGGTCCAGGAGGAGAGCAGATGCAAAGGGGGGCTAGCATGGGGGTGACCTGTGCCAAGGATCAGACACAAGGTCATAGGGAAAATTACCAGCTGGAACAGTTCCCTTGGGCCTCAGTCACGAAGGGCTTCATGCTCCAGTTATCCCTGAGGGTGAATCCTAGCATCCTTGATGTGTGACCTTCCGTCTTGGTGCAGTTGAATGTGTCCATTGATGGGAAGGTCATTACCTCTCCCAGCAAGCCTCGTGTCTTTGGACAGCTCGGCACACAGTCCTTCTTCATAGTGGGTGGAACGTTTTTCTCCTGTAAAGGCCACCCTTTGTTCCTGAGTCCACCTCAGAATTCACACTGTCACCTCTCTGGACACCATGTCACCCGGTACCCATCTGCTTGTCATCTTTTATTCCACCCGTGTGGTTCCCTCCTGAGTGGTCTTTCCTTGGCCTGTGACGCCCCGACAGCACATCCACCACCGGTCACTCCTCAGCAGGAGTCTCACGGACACATCCAGGTGCAAACTTCGCAAGGGGTGGCGGGTTCCAGCCCCTGCCAAGACACCTGACAATCTGCTCCATTTAAAGACCCCATTAGCCTTTGGTTTTAGGAGTGTCTGTGCCGGACACCACTGGTACCTCTGACAGCTAGGTAGCCGGTGTGTACCACCCTGGACTAGCACCTATAACCCACGCTCGTGATCTGCCCTGGCAGATAGGAAACATAACCCCTAGCTCTGGTCCAGCCGTGTAGAAGTGGGTGCTGGCATTTTCGCCTGGTTCTTTTAAGTCCACCCTGGGTTTGCATGCCCGCTTTTGGCAGCCGTGTGACCCTGGAGATTCCTGACTGAATTTGTTTCCCCCAGAGGTCATTGTGCGACTACTTGGGTCACCCTGCCTTCTCAACCTAATCTTCCTGGATGCAGCCTACACTGACTCATGGCTCCCTTGGTGGGAAGCTGAGTTACTGGAGACCAGCTCTGGTTCATGATGGGAGCAATAGCACAGTTAGGAAGTCTGACCAAAAAGACAGGGCAAGAATCAGAATGGATACCTCCGCCACTCTGAACGGTCTCTTCTACGTGGCCTGGAGTTTCCGGATGCAAGGGTTCAGATGAGCAGTGGTGTCTGCCACAGACCTTGGCATGGAGTGCGTGCTTCCTTCTGCCTCGCTCTGGGGATTCTGCTTTAACAGCTCGTGAACAAGAGCCCCTTCACAGTGAGAAACAGCCCTAGGCCAGGGATGCCACAGGCCTGTAGGAACCCTGGAAGGACAGAGCAGATGAGGCACGGCTGGCAGTGGTGAGAAGCGGTGCCAGAGAGCCCTGGCAGAGCCCAGCAGGACCCCTGCTGGTCATAGGCTGAACCACGACCACTCTGTAGGGCTCTGCCTTTGAGGGTTAGATCCAGAGGGTTTGGGGCTGTGAGTTCTCTGGGAATGTAAGTATGCACCACCGACAGCTAGGTGTGGGTGGCGGAGCCCGGTGTCACATTCTTCTTGGCCATGGCCGCATTCGTATCCGGATAGATTTGAGAATGGGAGGGTGGGTCACGGACAAATCTGGCAGCAAACTTCTGACCTAAGCCTTTATCTTACTTGTGACTTTTCTGTTACTTTTTAAGATGTCACCCATGGGCCACTGAGATGGCCCCATGGGTAGGACACTTGCCATGCTAGCCTGGTGATCTCAGTTTGATCCCCGGAACCCGTGTAAAGGTAGGAGAGGACTGACTGCGCAGAGTGTGCCGTGCCATGCACAAGCACGCGCATGCACATACACACATCCGGTCATAATGCTAGTAATCAATAAATAAAATGTCACGTATTTAGAAATGCTGTAAGTACTAAGGACCCTTAAGGAGATAAGCACACTTCAGTTCCACTAGAAACACCTTTCTGGTTC